TTCGTCTTACCAACTCTCTACCAATCTCACCGTCACGACGCGTGGCTAGCAACACAAACAGGCGGCATCGGAACTACCCGAAGGATAGTCTATCGCCAGTCAAGAGCGGGACAGAACTGAATACCTCGATCTCAACTGTGTATAGAGCAGCAAGCTGTGATCATCAATATTTGGTTTGTTGTCGCTTGATTTCAAACGCTCTCATTTATTTATCGTTCCCCTTCAATCAAGTGGGGGTGCCGCACAAAGGAGTCGAGAGACCATCTGTCGGCCATAAAACATAACCCAGTTGAGATCGAGATAAAATCTCAAGCTCTCTTCTTCTCTGTAGGCGTTTCAATGATAGTATCATAAATCCTCACACCAAGTTTATCTAAACAGTAAATAACTTGTCGACCTATCTTACTTGAAAGATATGAATAGAAAACTAATCTTGACGGTCATTTATTTGGTTTTGATCTTCAATTGGTACTCACTTGTGGTTTTGTTTTAGAAGAAGCCACGCTCAATAAACTCAATTAATCACAGCTTTTTGTTAGAAAATTTGCCGACAGAATAGATTTTTTTTTCTTTATCTGAGTGTCAACATAAATTCTTTTAAAGAAAAAAAAAAGAATCTTAGTTCTGTATTATTGATTCATATGGGACTTGAAGGTCAGGAACACTAGAATCAAGCAGGCACGGAAGTTTAAATATCTGGGAAGCGTCTTGACAGAGGACGGTAATTGTGACACTGAGATCCGTAGGCGTATTGGGATGGCCAAGGACATATTCAGAAAGTTGGACAGAGTACTGCGAGACAGGAGGATTTCTTTCGTAACAAAGAAAAGAATACTGAGCTGTTACGTGACATCTGTCCTTCTTTACTGCAGCGAATGTTGGACGATTTCCTCAAAGATGAAGAAGAGACACGAGGTGACGGAGATGTGTTTCTACAGAAGGATGCTAAGGATACCATGGACCGAGCGTGTGAGCAACGATGAGGTCTTAGAGAGGATGCAAACAAGTAGGAGGCTTATACTTAACATCAGGACGGTAAGTGCGACACTGAGATCCGTAGACGTATTGGAATGGCCAAGGATACATCCCAAAAGCTGGGCCGAGTACTACGAGACAGGAGGATTTCCTTGGTAACAAAAAAAAGAAAAAGAAAAAAAAAAAAAGAATACTGAGCTGTTACGTGACATCTGTCCTCCTTTTCGGCAGTGAATGTTGGACGGTCTCCTCAAAGATGAAGAAGAGTCTCGAGGCGACGGAGATGTGGTTCTACAAAAGGATGCTAAGGATATCATGGACCAAGCGTGTGAGCAACGATGAGGTCTTGGAGAGATTGAAAACATGGAGGAGGCTTATACTTAATATCAGGAAGAAGTTTCTGGGACACATAATGAGGAAGAAGGGCCTAGAGAATCTGATACTCATGGGTCAAATAGAGGGAAAGAGAGACAAGGGAAAACAACGCGTGACATAGCTGGCGGACTTAAGCAAGTGGATGACAGAATGTGGTCTGGGAGAAGAAGCAGAGGGAAGGAACTTGTTGAGAGCTGCAAGTGATAGAGGGAAGTGGAGAGCCGTGATCCCCTACGTCCTGTAAGGACATGGCACATAAAAAGAAAGAATGCAGAGGTTGCCTGAAGCGTGTCTTGCCTTCACTTTACAGTGTATCGCATTTATGTACCAGTTATTATGGGAAATACTGATACTAACTTGACATGCAGTACTGACACTAAGAAAATCCAATCAAAGGTTGACTATTAATTGGAGGGGGGGGGGTTTAGGGTTGTTTTTTTTTGTACGCAAGTGGGTGGCAACCCCTAAAAGTTTGGGAATGTATTGTTCAGATGTCATTCTCTTCCTGGTTGTCCTACGACGTACCGAAATGGTAAGGTTAGAAAAAAAGGAAAAAAAAAAACCCTTTGTTCTGTTTTATTGATTCACTAGCAGCAATCGCTATCACTTGACTTAAAATATTTTTGCCCTTCCTTGCCTTTAGAGGAGTGCCCTTTGGCGTGCTGATGTTGTTACATGCCTTACTTCTTGCCTATATCACACTGCCAACTTTTTCTAAGCTCTATAGTAAACATTAAATCTGTTACGAAAAAAGAACTAAACAAAATAAACACAATACGATCAGCTTTAAAAAAACCGGAAAAAACATTCTTAAGGGTTGACCGATTGTCGATTTGCACTCTGTGGGGTGCTCAGAGTTGAAACTTCACATGATGACTCCCAATGGCCTCTTCATAAATCCGCTCAGTTTTCGCTAAAAATCGACATGCGGTTCAGACGCAATCTGGGCGTATCGGATTTTGGGTTTTATCGATTTTCCGCGCTGTTTAGGGGTCCGTGGTCATGAAACTTCTGGACCACACTTCTAATGGTAGACTCTAAAAGGGTGTCAAATTTGGTTAAAATGCGATCATTCCTTCTATAAGCAGAATTTTTTCGATTATCGATTTTTTCGGAACCTGATTCCGAACTCAAAAATCGGGCTCCGTCATGTCCTTACGGCAGCCATTTGCAAACTTGTGTTGAAAAGCGCATCGAAATCGGGTGAGAAATGCGGCCTGGGCGAGGTAACAACGCCCACGACAGACACACAGACAGACAACATGAGAAATATAGATAGTAGATAGATAATGCAGAGGTTGTTGGAATCATTTTGTATTTCCAACTGAAAGAATTCTCGATGTTCTCTAACCACGGTTGGTTCAATCAGCAAAAGAGTTAGGATTTATTTCTCAAAAGACTGAAATATAAACGAATACAGAAGGCTCATAAGTTTTATATTGGCCTTTTTTGTCGATGGCAGCCGTAAATATGTTATCTTAAAACACAGCGCCGCTAATGGCTAAAACAACCAATGTGCGATCGACACGGTTTTGACAACGACCACAGTAGTAGAATACTGTGGGGATCATCCATCGTGGGGCATTTGCGTCTTTGTCTAGTCTCTATGACGCGCTGGACTCTGTTCTCTTTATAGGTCCTTGCTCCCGCGAAAACAGCAGCTCTCCACCCTGAGTCGATCCCGGGCAACAGCATCCTAGTTAACAACATTCATAGAAAAACTCCATCATGGACGTTTTACACTGGTCCTTTTTTAAAGCTTGGGTCGTCCAACGTTACTCCTGCCCTCAGACAATTCCTCATACAATATCTTCTTGGCAATTCTGGAGTTATCCATGCGCACATAGTGCCCAAACCACATGATGGGGATATACTGACTGAATGACAATTCTTTTGAACACTTTCTATATCCGGAACCCTATCTTGCCATTTCATTTTTAAAATATTTCTTAAACATCTCATGTGAAAACTATTTACCCTTTTCTCTTGATCAGCATACAAAGTCCACGTCTCGTTTTAATAACTTTAATAATAGTACCTTGAAAATATTTAAAAAAAACAAAATTAATTTAAATTTCCTCAATACTATTAAACTTTGAGTCATCAATTGCCGATTGGCAAAGCTAAAATTAATTAGAAAATGTTTTACTCATTGATTACTGAAATGTTTTTATCAAATTAATTTGATTTTTATCATTTAGTATCTGGCATAATTCGAAAATATATATATATTAGTAGTGGTGAGGTTATACCCTATCCGTCATCAGTTGAGTTTACACTACAGTAAAATAACGCAGATTAATGTAAATATTGACCTCCTAACAGTTAAACACAGGCTGTCACTCTCTGGCCAGCAATAAACAATGTGGCCTGAACAGTTGCGATGAAAAGTAAGTAAAATTTGGATAAAGAGAATACCCATCAAAAATGAATAAAAAGTGTGCATTTTTCTGAGGTATGTTTTCTCCTGAAGTATTTAAAGGAAGCGTTATAATTTGCTTCTTGAATTACTGTCCGAGAAAGACAACTTCATGGAAGTTATTCTTTGAAGAAAATTGAAAACGTAAAGATAATACTTACCCATTGTTGCTGCCAATCACCCGTGATTACTGCAGGGCCAAAATTTAAGGCAGGATTCATTAGACAACCAGATTTGTTACCCTGGAAATAAATAAATAAATAATAAGCGATTTTTATAAAGACTGAAGGGGAAATACAGCAAAATACACAATTCAGGTAATGCAGAAATAAGCGAATGCTATTAGACGCAGAAGTAATACATAAGCATGAATGAGTGGGAAAGATTATTAACTGGGAACTATGCAAATGACTTTACGTTTGAGAGTCGTCTATATTTTTCGGGTAGTGGCCTGATTGTATTTGAGGCGCACTCTCAAGTATATCACATTGATTCAAGTAGTTATATTTTTCTTTTTTGCCTTCTATTAATTCTTCCCTCTCGACATCTTCCTCAATATCGTAAATGTAGAATTCTCAAAGATAAGTAATCATATTAAATTAAAGACAAGACAGAGTAAAATCGAAAAGCAGACGCAGCGATAAAGAACAATGCTTTTCGAAGCAATCATATTAAGAGCCCGTAAGACAAGATAGAAGTGAATCGTAAATGGAGGTATTAGATGAATAAAGAACAATTCACGGACAATCAATTGCGTTAAGAGCAAAATTGACAAGACACTGCATTTTTGTAAATTCAGATAAAGCGGAAATTAGACCATTAGTGATATAATAAAGAACTGTCCTGGGTATGACGATAAACTACAACTAGCAGTAAGATCTCTGATCGAGAGGGGTCCTGGATATGACAGTAACTATAACCGGCAGCAAGACCTCTGATCGGGAGGGGTCCTGGGCATGACGATAAATTACATCCGGCAGCAAGGCTTCTGATCGGAATGTTTTGCATCGGAGCATGGAACCACCTCTTAATTACCGTTCTTCCCAGATCCGCCTTGACCCGGACTAGTAGCACCTGTTAGGGGGTCCCGGCTATGGGCAAATATTTGAACCCCAAACTGGGCTCAAAAACACTATGAAAGTATAAAAAAAGTTTGTAGATCCACCTGTCGTTCTGCTTGTTGCCACCCACCTCACCCAGCTACAACCCACTTGACTATTTCTTCTGGGGCATGATCGAGGCCAAGATCAACAAGCACTCCCACAACACGGTCGACTCTATGAAGGGTGCGATCGTGGAGGCGTTTGCCGCTATGGACAAGGACATGGTCACCAAAGCGTGTGACTCATTTCGCGCCTGCCGTGAGATGGTCATCGCCGCCGCCGGCGGTTCATTGAAAAATAATGTAGTATGTAACTCTAACTGTTGCTAAATAAACTGTCGGGATTCTGCATATACAACTTTTGTTTTTATTGCCTATTTCGTTTTCTTTTTGTCAAGTGTCAGATTTTGCTGCAACACCCTGTATAAGTGACAGATTGCTATAAAAAGGCGCTGTTGATTATTTACGGCTAACTTGTTTAAATAATGTTTGCGTCACGTGACAATAATTGTAAGTAAAGTTATAAGTAAAATCGATAATCAAATACCATATTTTGCTGCTTATAAGACGGATTTTCTTTCCTATAAAATATCTCCTCAAACCACCTTGCATCCTATAAATCGAAGGTCGGTCATAGGAGTTAACACCTCTTCTAATTATTATATTCTTTAATAGGTACCACAAATTTGATACTTCTTCTCGGTGAGCAGTGTATTTATCATGATTAATTAGCTTTTCATGCTGAAATATTCTATTCAGAGGTTAAAATTCGAGAGAGCTTAGGAGTTGAGGTTTATCCATTGTTTTTTGTTTAGGATTGGGTTTCCGGTTCCTTCTAAATTCTATTTCAACTCTATACCCCTAATGTCTCCACCTAAAATCTGAAATTTTTACTATTATTGGGTTTCTAATTCATTCTAAATTATTTTCCTTCTCTTTCACATCCAGTAGCCTCTTGCGTCTTAGTGGCATTATTGCCTTGCTTGGGTAAATCAATTAAAAATAAATTACAAGCAAAAAACTTTTTTCTGATTTCTTCATTCAAATGTTTTGGTTGGGGGTGGGGAGTGCGTGCCAATACATCGGGGCGTCTTATAAGCAGCAAAATACGGTAAACGCTTTAAGTTTTCTGAATATCGGTGTCATATTAAAAACAAAGATCGAATATTATACACAGCAAATTTCAGCTCCAAATTCCTCTAATAATTTCTTAATATACAAATTTTTAAGCAAAATATAAAACTGTCCAGACTTTGTTATTGAAACGAAATCCAATCCTGAAGATCAACTTTAATTATCGGAAACAAAGAGAAGAACTGTAAGATGGCGAATTTTCTCTGTTCCAAGCCTAAAAAAATGAAAGGAAATGTAATGTCTACACTTCATAAAAGAAGTGAAAAGCTTGTGAAACATAATTATCGGAGTACTTGGAACAATCTGGAAGAGCTTTTCAAATAAGTTGTATGAACAGGAAATTCGTGAAATAATGGAAACCACCCAGGCGTCTGTATTATTAAAATCTGCTACAATATTGGATCGATTAATTGATTTGTTTTTTACGGTTTATCAACCTTTCGCAGATTATTTAAAACCAGAAAATATTTTTAGAGTGTTATAATCTTTTGGGGATAATAATGATTTACAGATACAGGTTTTATCAATTAAACGACAACTGGGAGAATAGGTGGATTCATTATCTTTCCTAAGGGTAAGTGAATATAACGAAATCGACTGAAATTGAAACTTGGCTCTTCGACTTCCAATTCCAAGCCGCTATTCATTACACCAGCCGCACATCCAAGCTTACAACACCTGGTATTCCCAAAGTATTGATCAAGGTAGTTGTTAATTAATATCGCTGATCTTACGAGAACCGCTGTTTCAACGTGATAGGGTCATAAATCGAGAGTTCTGGGACACTGCAGGGAGTGCGATGATGCCGAGCAGAGACCCAGACTATTGAGAAGGCTTGCTCTCACGAGATCTCCAACGAGAGCTACCAGTAACAACGTGTATGAAAACTCATTGAGTATAAATAACAATAACAACAACAGCAACAACAAAAACAACAACAACAACAACAATAATAATAATAATAGTAATAATAATAATAATGTATGCTTGGATGTTGGATAATTACATAGTTCCTATAAGCATTATTATTAAGCGTTCATACTTCTGTAAAAAACAATAAAAAGACGATATTTGAATGCTGATTTTCAAAAAAGGCTGTTCCTTACTATTTACAGAAATGATGCAACATAATCTTCCCACACTCATTTGTCTAAATTTGGTTCCGCATTATAGTTAATTAAGCTCAGTAAGGATTGTAAGATTGCTGAAATAGTTACGCTCACCCATCGGCGCCAGTGGCCGGTGTTCGAACTTAGCTAAAATACCAGGATTTTCAAATGTGGATTGTCAAACCTGCCCACTCGCTTTACTGTCACTCCGCAATTATCTGTTTTTAATTTTAGCCATTGTCTGAATTAAGGAACAACTTTATGATTTTGAGTTGAAATTAGTTTGAGCGAGATTTGGCATTGACTCTCTACGCCGTCCATTGACAGAAGGAGGAAAGAGATTGTCAAGAATTGACCAGGAATTCAAGCATTGCAGGCAGAAGCGGATTATGACAAATATAATAAAAAATGTATTGCTTAGGATTTGACGAAAATGGTTGTCAGTAAGCAGACATTAAAACAAGCATTACAAGAAGACACAATAGTGTTGCTGTATGGATAACAACAATGAGAGAGAAAAATAAACAAAAGACAGAAGATCTGGAGAATAGAATAGATGAGAAGTAAGGTGTGTGTGTGTGTGTGTGTGTGTGTGTGTGTGTGTGAGAGAGAGAGAAAGAGAAAGAGTGAGAGGGAGTAGAGATTGGTTGAGTGGTCGATTTGTTTTTTACGGCTTATCAACCTTTTGCAGGTTATTTACAGCCAGAAATATTTTTTAGATTGTAACAATTATTTTTGGTGTGTGGGGGGAGATAATAATGATTTAGTGATACAAGTCTTATTAATTCACCCAGAAATGGGGTGAAAAGGGGTGGATTCATATATTTCCCAAGGTTATTTGCACGTAAGTGAATATAACGAACCCAACTGGAATTGGAACTCTGCTCTCCGTGTGTGTGTGTGTGTGTGTGTGTGTGTGTGTGTGTGTGTGTGTGTGTGAGAGAGAGAGAGAGAGAGAGAGAGAGAGGGATACCTGACATGGCGCCTCTGGGAACTGATCGCCATCGAACCATTCAGCAGCAGTCTTTAAGAAGAAGCTGGAGTTTTGCTGCAAAATATCCAATCTAGGATTTCCCCAACTCGTTTTGCTGCTAAGTGTGTGGCAATTTCCTGCATTTTAAGGCAACAGAAGCCAAAGAAAACTGTTTACTGGTATTTCCATTCTCTCTAGGACAATGTCCGTTCTTTGAGAAAGGTCGTTATTTCAGACCAATCTGTAGAATTGGCAAAAACAAATATTCCTTGACACGTGAAAAGACCGTCGCAACAAATGTACATTCCGCTCGTGTAGGTGTGTATCTGTGTCTCATCATCATCATCATCATCATCATCATCATCATCATCATCAGTCTCATCACCTGAGTGTGGGCGTAGGGTCACCGAACAGCTGAGCAGTTGACTAATTCCCTTCATATGTCTCGGTTGCGTGCCAACGTCTGCACCTACTTGAATGATTAACCAGTTCACTCAGTGACGTTGTCTGCTCACTATTTTTTTTTACTCTGCCTGCTTCTTCTTTTACCCAAGGTGGAACCTTGTAGAGCAATGGAAAGATTGTCGGCTTTTATGACGTGCCCATAGCATTTCAGTTTTTTCTTCTCGACCATGGTTATGTGGTCTTCCAATGAGCTAGTGCCTTATCGGTTGGTGTATCGAAGTGCGAGACACCATCGGTTGCAGGGAGTGAAAGTGAAAGAAAAGATTCAGAATAGGGAGGATTGAGGAAAGGATAAAAGATGAACGGGATTCAGGAAGACAGAAGTTAGCGATTGACGTTGCATTTAAATTTTTGCAGGTTGTAGCTATCAGGGAAGCCAGTAAACGGAAGGGAGTTCCACGGGCGTGAAGTGCGAGAAAAGAAACTGTTGGAATAGAAGTGTTATATTCCATTTTTTATGCGTCATGTGATTTCATGACTTTGGCGAACATAGCTCTCCACAACCTTCCCGTCTTTTCTTGCACTAAGTAACCTTTGTTGTTCTACCATCCGCCTTCCTTTGTCCTTGTTCTGCAATCCATTCAAACACGTTCAGCAGTTTACTCGCTTTTTGCCCTGATTCTCTTGCCTTCAACATATTCTGTGGGTGTTAAGTTCTCCAAGCCCTCTTTCCGAATTATGTGTCTCAGAAATTTCATCTGTCCCTTTCTGATTGTAAGAATAATTGTTTCCTTGTTGTTTCCTTAAGACTTCTTCATTGCACATCTGTTCAGTTCATGACGTTCTTATCATTTGTCGGTAGAAGCACAGCATCTCTGCCATTTCAAGTCTCTTCTTTATCTGTGAGGACACAGTCCACTATTCGTTGCCATATAAGAGATTAGATACAACATAACAGATTTTTCTGTTTCTTAATAATTTGCTTAGTTTATGGAAGACATCTTTCTCTATCCTAATCGCTTCCGTATTTCTCTCACATTTTCAATCGCCTGTTACTACACCACCCAATATAGTTAAATTTTTACATCTGTCTATATTTCTGAGATGGGATACTGTAACTATTTACCCTATTTAAAATTATGTCCAAGGCATCTGTAGTTGAAAGTATAAAATTGCGTGCGGGATATTTAGATTTTGGCATTAAATAATCTATAGAGGTTATAAATAACCGACTATCAATAACAGTGTCATATAGATATCTTACGCTGTTTAGTATATATCCGTAGATAATAAATCCTGGTAGGACCTCTAGTTCTCTTAAGTTCGTATAATTGCACAGGTTGAATAAATCTGGTGAGAAAAAGCACCCTTGCCTTACTCTTGTATTCTATACCTGCATGAAAGCTGTTTGCTCCCAGTCGAGGTTACGGATTACTCAAATATCTTTCCCATGTAAATAAAGCTTTTGTAATATTTCGAATAGTTCTTTGTATTGTTTCTTAAATATAATTATCTAATGTATTACGTGTTTGTCTGAGTGAGCATCAATGGAAGTGTAGTTTAGTGTGTAAGTATGCGTGTGTTTACAGATATGTGCAGGGTATTTATTAATGCTAATGTGTGACTATATACGTCTAGTCAATGCATCATTCCTTGCATGTTTGTTGGCGTTTATTTTCGATCCTGCGTACACATTAGCTTGAGAATGTTTCACGTTTCAAGTTTCTTCTGATTCGCAATTTAATCGACCCTAGCGCGAAATTGTCACAGGAATTTGCGTTAATCTCCCCGGATATGATTTTATTTTGTTCGATTTTAGCTGAAACACGACATGTTTTGTTTCAGCCACTCGGCAGACATGCTTAATAAAACAACCAGCAAAAATATCTTACAGGTTGTGTGTGTGTGTATTTGTGTTTGTGTGTTTATCTCTCTCCCTCTACCTTTCTTTTCCACGTTCTCTCTTTCTCTCTATTTATGTGTGTGTATGTAGCCTGTTTTAGGAAGAACTATGGCGGCTGAAATAAAAAAAAAACAACTTTCATTTTAATATACAACTTGTTTCTTTTCCATTTTTCTTTATTATGATTTTTTTGTGTTTTTACAGACCCTTCTTTTCTTTTTTCCTTCTTTTTTATCGCTCTGTTCTTTCTTTCTTTCTCATATTTTCAAAAGTATTCTCTCTATTCTTTCTTTCTTATTTTCATCGCTCTGTTCATTCATTCTTTCTTTCTTTCTTTCTTTCTTTTCAATATATTCAATTTTCAAACATATTCTCTTCATTCTTTCTTTTTGCAGCGGTTTTTCTTTCTTTCTTTCTCATATTTTCGACCTTAACTTCTCTGTTCTGTCTTTCTTGACATGTTGTCACCCTTTTTTCGTATTGCTCTCTTTTTAATCTCTCTTCTTTTCTTAATCCCCTTTCACTATTTTTACTCTCCTTTTTTTCGTGTTTCCTTTACAATTTCATCCCTCTTTAATCTTCATCCGCCATATTCTTTTTATTTTTAGCGCTCATTTTCATGCCTTCCTTCCTTCCTTCCTTCCTTCCTTCCTCCCACCACCTTTTTCTATTTTATCAAATATTTTTATTCATTCTTTCTTGCAACTGACTTTTTAATTGATTTTTCTCTCTCTTGAACACTTTCCTTCCTGTTCAGGTTAAAGTTTTTGTTCTCAATTACAACTTCCATGCTTTTTATCTTATATTTTCAACCTTACCATTTCAGATTTTTCTTTCTTTCTTTCTTTCTTTCTTTCTTTCTTTCTTTCTCCTATTTTCGATTTTACCTTTTCTGTTCTATCTTCCTTTCTTTCTTTCTTTCTTTCTTTGTTAATTCTTTGTTTCTTTCTTTCTTCAATAAATACACACATTATTTTTCTTTTTATCCTTAATGACGGTAACCTTCAAATCCGGATGAAATAAAATCCTTAATCAACCATCCAGCCATAAAATATGGCAATAACGATGCTGGTATTCCTCCTTCCACAAATGTATTTTAAAAAACCTCTTATTTAAAATGCGTAACTTTTTTAATTTTTAATTTTGCTCGAACGAAAAAAATCTGTTCTTAATCCAATTCGAATTTTTTTTTTTTTTTACTGGAACTCAAAAAAAAAAAAGTAGTTTTGTGGGTGGAAGGTTGGATGGTGCAAATGTGTCAATCTAACCTCATTTCTTTCTGCAGAATAAATTTGGTGTCACATTACAAGAGATTGATGCTGAGAAATGTAAATAAAATCAGGAAGCAAACGAAAGGGGTGGTGCTGATGGAGGACGAGGAGGCGGAGGAGCATTGAGGTGGTGCTGATGGAGGACGAGGAGGGGGAGGAGCATTGAGTCGGAAATAAAAGAAATGGCGGGGGAGATCGGTTTATATAAACGAGAGAAAGAAAAAGAGCGTTAGAGAAACATTCGGGAAGTGATGTTTCTAATTAAAAGGAGAAGAGGAGAAATTAAAAGAGAAGGAGTGTGTGTGTGTGTGTGTGTGTGTGTGAGAGAGAGAGAGAGAGAGAGAGAGAGAGAGAATTGAAGAAAGATAGATCGTACCGAGCTACAGTGAATAAAGAGAGGGCATGAATGAAAGAAGATGGCGATTACAGAGAGAACCACGAAAAAAAAAAAGTGGGGAGAGTTAGTATTGGGCGATACAAATAGAGAAAACGCATACCTCTATCGCATTTGATAAGGTATGGCACAAAGGTCTATTTGAACTACTAGGAAAACTTAATTTATATGGGAAAGAAAGAATAATGCGGAACAAACAGTCTGCCTACGAATAGAATATGCATTGAGCAATTAAATAATACTAGAAAGCGGTGTATAGTAAGCTGTCTCTTCTCACCGGATTTATTTATGTTGTGAGGGAGAATATTTCCCTTCAAGTTTGGACTCAGCCGTCGAACGAAAGACATAAGAATACGCCTGCATCAAGAGGAGTAGCAAGAAGAGTAACAGTAACTTTTGCTAAAAACAGTCATTCATGGCTAAGCATTTTCTTTTCTAGTTTCTATTCTATATTATATTACCCTATACCAAAAGGTAATAAACTTTTTGTTAAACCATTTTTCCGGTTTTCTGCTGTTGTTTTTGATAACTCAGCTAAAACAATTTAGAATTACAATAAGGAAATTAAAAAAAAAATTGCTGGACACTAGCGTAACAACATGACATATGCAGATGACAACTTGCAGAAAGAAAGAACTATTAGACAATGTAATAAATAAAAGCGAGAAGAAAAGATACTCCATCAATTCTAAGAAAACACAATATATAGTCGCTAGCAAAAGGGCCAGGCCAGAATGTGAACTACAAACTGGGGACGTCAATATCAAACAAGTACAGAAATTTAATTATCTGGGAAATGTTTTAACAGACAACGAAATATGTGATACAGAAATGCAAATGTCCGTTCCAAAAGCTAAAACAGAGTATTAAGAAACAGACAAATTTCGTTAGAAACAAACAAAAGCTGGAATGTTATGTAATATCATTCCCCTTATATGGCAATGAATGCTGGAAAATAAGTGCTGCAATGGAGTAGTTGTAATTATATGTTGAACTGCCTTTAGAACACTGTTAACACGTTTCGGCTTGTTTGAAAGCAAGTGATAATTAGGGTAGAATTAAACTGTTTTATATAAAAAAAGTGCTTCCGCTATCTTTAAACGCATTTTAGAATTAAATGTTTTGGAACCATTCTCTCATTTGCACGTCTCCCACTAGACTAAATGAAGCAAGGTCGAGGCTTCACAAAAATGCGTAATGTGGAGGCTACGGGACAATTTTTATCTCATGTACTTTAATCTTATTTACTTTAAACACGGCCTTGTGCCGTATTCTTTTTGAGTGCATGCAAAGATAAAAACTATTTTAATTACGGATTTTTATTATGCTTAAATATCTGCTTAATCGATTTAGAACTGAATGTTTCAATTTGTTTATGTTTATTAGAGCCTTGACTTTAAGGTACACGCGTTTTTCAAATGGATTTGCATTTTAAAAATATAAAAGAAGAAGCAAACATGGAGTGTTCTATTATCATCCTACAAACTTATATTGTTTTATTTTCGACTTGTTCGTCCCATTTTTAATTTAGATACATTTTAGCTTAGTCACTGTTTTGACCACTTTTTGTTTAGCCCTTAGCAACCGACACAATGAACCACAGGATCAAAGTAAGCGGTTCCTACTTTCTTATTCATCTTCAGTGGTTACCAAACGGCACAGCGCGCCCCGTAGATGCAGCGGAAGAGGATAGCAGGTGAGGCGGAAGAGGATAGCAGGTGAGGCAGAATGATTGAAAGACAATCAAAGATTTAGAAACAGTTTCAAAAAATTTATATGCCAAAAATAAATATGATTTCAAAATTTAAATTATTATTATGCATTACTTGTAATTGCATGCATGAGTCCCAGTATAAAGAGTTATAAATAATTTTTGACTGATTTTATCATTGTGATATTTTTGCATTATATCAAATATTAAGAATATAGTAACTAGGATCCGCAAATTGGAGGAGAGAGTTATCAATGATAATAATTTGACTTCGAATCCATGATTATCTCCCTTTAACCCTCTCTCTGTTTTTATTTTTAAATGTACTTTTTATCACATAAAATTTGGTGAGGTGCAAGCAAATTTTCATCCCGAAAATGCGGTCTAGATAAAGAAAAAAAAAACGTTTGGGAACCCCTGAAACTCAACTCCCAATTGATAGCATCGCCGGTATGTAACATCTTAACTCTTTTCTCTCTGTACTGATCCCTTTTAGTATTCTATGATTATTTGAATATTTGTTTAAGGCCGCCTCATTTTTATACATTTATTTTTGCTACTGTACTTCGTTATGCAAACCCCTGTCACCACTTGTTGTCTGTTCTCACATCACGTCTTACGTAACTTCATGTACATTTCTTCCTTTCTGTAGACCTATTATTGTTCCTGTAAGCGAACAACTTGCTATCCTCTTTACCAATTTAGACCATCGGTTTCCAGTTATGTTCAGTACTAAGGCCCCTTTGTCATATTACTTATCTCCCCTTTTTACTTTTTATTTATATTGTTATTCTGACTAAACTATAGGGCGGTCCGAAAGTCCCGTCATCCTCTCCTCCAAAGTGTAGAAATTCGTGCTAACCATCTGAAATAGAAAATTATATTATGTACGGGTGACAAGACTTTCAGACCACCCTATAGTCTCAAGTTTGTATTTTGTTTCTTTTGCTGGTTTCCAACTTTTGGCTTTCAATAAGCCAGCTGTTGAACACGTGACCTCAGTGTAAGGCGTTTATCTGGATGGCTGAGGTAGGGACGCACGCGCGAAAGACGTATCGGGAGGCATAGTGCTCGGCGATTGGGCTCGAAATCATGTCCTTAGATTCCCCAACAATGATCTTATCATGAAGTTACAACCGCTTGCCCCCCTCCCTCCCCCGTCTAATGCGCTTTTGATATACTTTTATCTGATTTATGGTGAGATGACGATTGACGATTTACTTTCAAACCTTATAATGACAGGAGCTTAGAATTAACTTTGGTTCATATTACTTTCTGTCTTGTCTTCCCAACAGCGTTTGTTTATGCATAAGGTGTTAGGTAAATCGTAAATCGATATGAAAAATATGATTGCAAAAAAGAAAAGAGAAAAATTAAGAGCGGTAATAGAAAGAAAAAAAAACATCACCATAAAAAAGAAACTTCTATTTGGTTCAGATAGTGAAATTGAAAAAAAATTAAGAATTGTGATTTTCTTTCTTTCTTTCTTTCTTTCTTATTTTCAAATTAAGTTTTCTTTTACTTTTTTCTCCTGAAAACGTCCAATTTTTTTTATCTTTTCTTTCTTATTTTCAAATTAATTTTTCTTTTACTTTTCTTTCTCCTGAAAACGTTCAATTTTTCACCTTTTCTTTCTTTCAAATTACTTTTTCTTTTACTTTTCTTTCTCCTAACAACGTTTATTTATTCTTTCTTTCTTTCTTTCTTTCTTTCTTTCTCATTCATCCACTAGTTTCGTTGACTTTATCACTATTCGGTTCCCACAAAAATGACTAAAAATGATTACACAAAATTCTATCTCGGCCTTTCATCGGCCTGCAACGCAACTGAAGCGTAAAAATGTATTCGAAGCTTTTTTTTTTCATACGCCCTCGTCTGAGGAAAACTGCGAGAAAAAAAAAACAAACAAAAAAAACATAACCAAATAATGAGGAGTGAAAAATGTGTTAAAAGGAAACCAGACGAATACAGATTTGTAGAAAAGTGAAAGTTTAGTGAAAAGTGGAGGTACAAAAAAGGCAATAAACAGGAGCGATGAAAGAATGACAGATGTTCGTAAATAAAAACTTAAAAAATATATTATAAATTAAAGTTTGATAAAATTAAAGAGATTCAAATTATAGCAGACACATTATTAGAAGATATTCTTTTAATAAATTTCAGACAAAATAAAAGCGTTTTTTTTTTAATTGAATATTATTAATAAGATACATCATCCTTACTGAGGAGATACCAACTTAAAATAAAATTAAAGGAGAAAGATGAAATTTTCACAGCATTTAAAACTTATATTAAATTATTACTCAGTAAAGGTTCAACTTTTAATCATGTATAGTTATTAAAATATTCGAAATTATGTATCCTATGTAACAAACTTTCAAATAGAACGTATTTCTCTGTTAATTATTAACTCGCTTTTTTATGTGCTAGGTATATGTAAAAGGAGAACGTATCCAGTAGTCAGTTAGAATCCATGCAGTCCGCGTGTTAATACTGGTAGCAACCGGATGTAACAGCCCGAGTCGAAGTCATTAAGAAATCTTCCAGTGTATCATCTATTACCTGCTGTAAAATAACTGTTTTCATAAGAAGGAACTGAACTATAAATAACGAGAATCGATTTTTCTAAATCAATGCAACTATTTCTGGAATCTAAAAATTTCGAATTTACCCTTTACCTTTTTTTATTCGTTTCCGTTAGTTTTATTTTCTTTATGGACAAGTTGAATATTTTTTCAAGGCGAAGTTTTTCACCCTCTCAACTTTCCCTCAAATAAAAATAAGAAGGTGAAAAGAAAGGAGAACTGATTAAAGAAAAAGGGAGTAGAAGTTAATAGTAATAAAATTAACCTCGAGAAAAATATTTATAATATGCGAAATGTGCAGAAAATATTTGCAGCAGACAAACATAAAAATACCAGAATATTAAGTGAAGGATATTAAAAAAAAAATATTGAAAAAACATTTTTTTAAAGATAGAATAAAAATAAAATAATACATAAAAACTATCAATTAAAAGATTTTGCATTCACCATAAACACATCTTATCTGATCACTAACAGAATTCAAACCAATATTAATTCAATTTACCGATATATTGCAATAAAAATGCATCGATCTGGCTCCAGTCTAACGTTTTATCCTTATGCAGTTTATATTTTTTCTTCCAATCAATTTAGTTATTTGTGAAAAACATTCAACACTTTTATCCTTTCATAAAAAAAAACGAAACAAAAGAAAATGGCGGTGGTTCCCTGTTGCTTGATTCAGGGTTCAGCCATAGGATTTGCTTCAGTTGAGCAGAATAAAAAAATTGGCACCGAAGGTGGCGTAAAAATGGATCTAAATGTAAAAAAAGAAAAGAAAGGAGAACAGAAAATAGAGAAAACTGTCAGACATCGTGGCATTATTTTGATTTCAGGAAGCTTCGATACAGAAGTCTGTTAATCAAATCAACTGCATTGATACGGATTCAAACATTTTTGCCTGAGCGGAAGTTCATCCGTACAAAAGTCATGTATGATTATTGTATAAATTCGTTATTGAGGTCAGTGCAAATGGACTTCTTTCAATATTTTATCCATTTTCCCTGTCTTTTCATATGAACATCAATGTATTTACATATTTGCAGGTATTGATTCGTTTTGGTATTTGTATAAGTCAATCAGGAGCGAGAAAGATTTTAAACTATTGCATAAACATCTGTAGACGTTGAATTGCTAGTTAACAAATTGAAACTTAACCTATATATAGCATTGTCAGATTAAAGTATCTGTAAAACAGAAAAGGCGTGAATCAACACTGGACATAAAATATAATCGTCTAATTGTTAATCTTATAATTCACGCCTTTTTTTATCGATCTGTCTGTCATCAAATAAATCAAGGACTTTTAGAGTCCTGACCATAAAATTGTCTGTGGTTACCAATGGAATTCCAGAGCCGATTAAGTTTTGGAAATTCCAAAACGTTTAAAGTTTTTTAGTAAGGTGGTTCGGTTTCGTTAGAAACGAAGAAAAGAGAATTGAGGGAAAGAAGATGTGATTTTACAGAATGATGTTGAGAATATCATCGACGGAGCATATAAGACATGAGGAAGATTTAAGGAAGTTGAAAACAAAAAAGCACTTAGAATCGGAAAGATTGAGTTGAAGTTTCTGGGACACACAATGAGGAAAAGAGTGTGGTGAATTTGATAATAAGAGGACATGTTGAAAGCAAGACGGCAGACATAGCGAATAACCTGCCTAACCAGCATGTGTAAATAGATGACAGAACAGGGATTAGGACAGACATATTGGGATATCATGTACCTGTGATGTCAGTTATTGTTCATTCCTGTTGAATTAGTGCGTCACTACCAGATCCAACGATTGAACTCAAGATCGCTAATGTCCTTCGTGGTGGATATAGGAGTTGATTGTACATGTGTTACTGTCATTTAGTGGCCATAAGTTCAAAACAATTCAGCGAACAATAACTAATATCACAGGGACAAAATATCGCAATATTCAGCAAATATCCCAGACCAGCCAAATAATGGACATATGATGATGATCAGAAGGTACTTGGTCGAAACGTTCCTGTTCCATCTAGCTCTAAGCAACGATTGACACTTGAACTCTGATATAACTCACTCCTAGCGATTATAATCTCGAGGCGGTGTAATGGTTAGCAACCTTGTCTAGCTAGAACAGTTACGACTGAGCAGTGAGTTCGATCCTCACTGGGTGTACCCTACCTTTGGGCTTGTGCCACATCTAAGCTACGCTTGGAAAATCATTATGTTGGGCACCTCGAGGTAGTGTAATAGTTAGCAAGCTTGTCTCGCTAGAACGATTATGACTGAGTAGTGAGTTCGATCCTCACTGGGTGCCCCTACTTTCGGCTTTGTGCCGCATCTAAGCTACGCTTGGAAAATCACTATATTATTATGTCTCGTTTAGGCTACTCGCCGTGACGTCACTAGAAATTCTCCTCGATTGACTCCAACAGACTTTACTTGAGTTTGAGTTCTTTATTTAAAGCATCTTGCCTAGTTCATTTGTGTTACCGGGGTACCTTATTTACTCCACAACAAATTCAGAGAGTACAGCAGTTAAAATTAGTGATCGAAGCAAAAAAGATGAGGATACTAGTCCGAATAATTTGTAGAGTGATGATAAATAACACTAGACAGCGTTCTGAAAGTTAGAAATCATTCAGGAAATAACACTTCCATATTCGAACCATAAGACATCTTTTTCTATTAATAACAGACATGTTTCTCATTATAACGTCAACGCCATATTGGTTGTGCTATTTTCAACTCAGTAAAATTCATTCATCTTATTTAATGCCAGTGACTCGACAGAAAGATTCGTGATGAGAATGGTGTCTTTTTTTCTCCCCTCCCACTTGTGCCATCTGTGACACAACAGCTTCCTATTCACCAACTTATTGATCTCACGAGATTGGAGAGTGGACGACGTGACACGTGTCTCTTCTACTAACAACAAAGCAACTGGATATCATGTCAATTCGACATCGTCACTGGTCGCTTGTACTGTTCGGAATGTCAGTTTTTTGTCAAGGCGTTCTTATAATTGCATCTCTCGTGAATTCTCTGTTCAACAATAATATGGTCGATGTACACCTGCTGTAGAGTGCTAATTAGCTAGCTCATCTTGCAGATCGATTTTAAGAGGAATCAGGCAAGGGTAAGTGTTTTTAGGGTTACTGGCAAATGTCAGGGCCCTAGTATATCTTAAAGAGACGCCATTGAACATGGAGATCACGGTAGTATAGGCAGACGTCAGCAAACTCTGAAGAAAAATTCATTAATAAAAATACTTAAGTTTTACACTATTTTCATTCATTTTTGTCGCCACATTTTCACAACGTTTCGTCCATTGTACACTCCGGCCTTCTTCAAACTGAACCCTTTATTTCGCTCGTTGGGGTAGACTGTTCTAGTTCCACGTGCCATGTTTTTAATGGATGTCAGTTATCAGTTATCTCCTGTTAATTCCCCTCTGCAAGTTCTCCACTGCCTGTAACGGGATATTGAACTCACACTCTTTGGGTTCTGTCACTGGATCTAACCAACGCCTTTATCCACTGTGCCATGTGTCCTTGAGGACATCTGTGCATGAATATCTGGGTATTATAATCCTAATGTCTTAGCAATCAGTTTTTTTTTACTAGTGCTCATATTGCAATTTTTTGCTGTTATCATATTATATTTTTACCAGAGCTCATATTGCAATTTTTGTTGTTATTATCGCAGTCTACACCAGTGAGCGAAATAAAGGTTTCAGTTCGACATTCCAACCACCTGAAGAAGACCGGAGCGTAAAACGGCCGAAACATTGTGATAAATATGGCGACAAAGATGAGGACAATAGTTCGAATAATGTAAATAGTGTACATAATACCTCATCTCAGAAATATAGACAGATACTTAAGTTTTATGATATAGATTTTTTCTTCTTCTATGTGCAGTATCTGTTCAGGACGTTGGCGATCATGGCTCTCCACATTTTTTTGTCCTTTGTAGCTCTTATTAAATTTTGTCGGTTTTTCCTCCTAAACCCTGCCAAGACTTCCATTTATTCTAACTCCCTAGGTTGGTTATGGTGGTTTTTCTAAACGTAACTGTATATGTGGCACAAAGCCGAAAGTATGGGGTGCCCAGTGAGGATTGAACTCACGATTCATTTGTAACTGATCTAGCGAAATAAGCTTACTAACC